GTTTCAAGGACATTGAAAAGATGTTGGACCATGTTAAGGTCTTCCCAGATGCAAAATATTATTATGCCACAGCTAGATTGCCCGTAACTGTTATGGTTAAAGAGGGCTATACTAAAGGGGAAAAAAAGTCTTATAAGTGTAGGAAGACTAAGGTGTGATTTTAAAAAGAATTCTGCAGGGAAAATTTGGTGACTTGTATTCTTTTTCAATGAAAGGTGAGTCACTGACAGTCAATAGGCTCTCACTCAAGTCATTGGAATATATACGATCTGAGCATAGGAACATGTGAGAAGAATCTGACATAGAAATTTAAGAAAAAATGGAAGACAGAAAATGAGCTGAAAAGCTACACTATAGGAGCTGTAATAATTAGAAGTAGTCACCTAACACAAGGCTTTGGCAAAGGGATTCCTGATTAGTAAAGAAAGAATTGGCTTTATTGCTCAAGAGTTTCACTGACCTCTCATAGCCTTCAATTCCACACAGAGTTGTGGCGGCTAGGTGGCAGTGGGGCAGTTAGGTGGCTCAGTAGACAGAGCACTGGACGTGGAATCAGGAAGACTCATTTTCCTGAGTTCAAATCTGGCCTCAGACATTTACTAGCTGTGTGACCCTGGGCAAGTCACTTAACCCTGTTCACCTCAGTTTCCTCCTCTGCACAATGAGCTAGAGAAGGAAATGACAAACTACTCCAGTATCTCTGCCAAGAAAACCTTAAATGGGGTCATGAAAAGTTGGACATGACTGAACAACAACAATGCCAACAAGAGTTGGAAAGAGATAGATAATGATTCTCAATAAGGTACTGCTGCTCTCTGTTGCCACTTCTCATTTGAGAAAGAAAAACATGGAATTTCATAGTTGCTTTGATTTCCTGGATTTGGCTAGGTTTGATAAATCAAGACAATTTGCAAAGCTAAAAAGTTACGAGGCCCAACAGCCAAATAAAAAGCAGAGGAACAGTTTTCTATGGTATTCTGTGGTATTCTGTGTGGTTCCTAAATGGACCAATATGATAGAAGCCTGTGGTCTCGACTTGTAAGTTACCCTGAGATCATAGGTTTTCTTCTCTCACATATTTCCCTGCCTGTTTCCTTTTTAGCATATGCTCACTCTCTACAATAGAATTAAGTAAACTGGTGGGTTTATCTGGAGATTCTAATGTATTTCTCATATGTGCATTAATTTTAATATATTAATATCCATAATTTTATTTATTTTGCCTTTTTGTTAAGTACACGGTTAGGTTTAAGATCTGAAAGTGTTACTGTGAGTTACTGGTTGTGAGGGTGTGTTACCTCATGGTTTGAATAGATCGGAAACGCATCAAATAGGGGCTCAAGAATTAGAATGGTGAGTAGACGAAATATATTTCCCCTCAAAAGGGGATAAGCCCTAGAATCCTGAGAGAGTCTGTATGTAAGTGCTTTTGGTGGCGGCTTACCCCAGTGAACTAGGCTGATTATAGTTGGTGCTGATATGGCCCATACAAGAAGAGTTACAACTATATTATGTGACACTGGTGGGTGGCTATTCCCTGTCATCACATTACATCATGTCACCACACCACAATTCATTACATTTTGGAGATGGTGTGTGTTTTTCCATCACCGCCTGTAATATATACACTCAGATTACATAATAGCAAAAATAACTCACCTGGATATATAAGGAACTAATTAAAATTTATAAGAATAAAGGTCATTCCCTAACTGACAAATGAAATGGTGAAAGTGAAGAAATTCAAGCTGTTTATAACTGCATGAAATAATGTTACAAATCATTAACAATGAGAAAAAATGTTAGGTTCACACCCATCAGATTGGCAAAGTTAAGTGGGGGGGAAGGGAAATTTAAAATTTTGGAGGGCCTGTGGGAAAACAGGCATGTTGATGCACTATTAGTGGAATTGTGATTTGGCATAGCCATTCTGGAAGGAAGTTTGGAACTGTGCTTAGAAAGCTGCTAAACTGGGTCAACTCTTTGATCTCATGATACCATTACTATACCTCAAAGAGATCAAAAAAAAGGAAAAGGTCCTATATTCACAAAAATATTTGTAGCAATTCTTTCTGAGGTGGCAAAGAAGTAGAAACTAAAGAGGTGGCCATCATTTAGGAAATAGCTAAACAAATTATGGTATATAAATATAAAGTGGGTGGGGGGGTAACAAGCATTTATATAGTACCTACTATGTGCCAGGCACTGTGTTAAAAGCTTCTTATAAATACTATCTCAATTCATCCTCACTACAACTCTGCAAGGTAGGCGCTGTTATTATCATCATCTTACAGTTGAGGAAACAGAAGCGAAAAGGTATCAAACGACCTGCCCAGAGTCACACAGCTAGTCAGTGTCTGGGATGAAACTGAACATAGGTCTTCTTGACTTCAGGTTCAACATACACACTGATCCACCTAGCTGCCTCTGATATAATGAAATACTATTACATTCTAGGAAATTATGAAGGGGATAGGAACATTTTTATTAACCAATGTACAGTGAAGTGAACAGAAGTAGAACATTTTACACTATACTAACATTATAAAAATCAACCATTTTCCCAAGAGGATCAATGGTGAAGAAAGCTACTTACCTACTGATAAAAAGATAATGGATTAAATATGCAGACCAAGACTTCTGTTTTTGGATATGGCCAATATAGTTATTTATTTTGCTTAGCTATGCATATTTGTTACAAGGGTTTTCTTCTTTCCAGTAGAATTGGTGGAAGGAGATCAGTAAAAGAGAAAACAAATGATTTTTTTTTTGGCTAGGCAATGGGGTTAAGTGACTGGGGTTACACAGCTAGTAAGTGTCAAGTGTCTGAGGCCAGATTTGAACTCAGGTCCTCCTGACTCCATGGCCAGTGCTCTATCCACTGCACCACCTAGCTGCCCCCGAAATGATTCTTAATTGAAAAAATAACATAATTTAATTTTAAAATAAGTTAAATAGGAAAAAAAATAAAATTACTGGACTCCCTAAAAAATGGATCATATTTCAAGAAATCATAATGAAACCGACCTATACAGATTCATTAGAACCAGAAGACAAGGTGAAAATAGAATCCACCAGTTACCTCCTGAAAGAAACCTCAAAATGAAAACTCACAAGATGGCATAACAACATCTAGTACTTTAATATAAAAAAAAAAAAAGCAGCCAGAAAGAGTTCGAGCATGAAGGGACCACATAAAGAACCACACAAAACTTATCATCAACTATAAAAGAGAGAAAATTTTGGAATATGAAAATCCACAAAGCAGAAGATAAAGGCTCATAATAAAGAATAACTTGGCCTGCAAGGCTGATTATCATTTGACAGGGGGAGAAAATTAAGCTTTAATGAAATAAAAGGCTTTCAAGTATTCCTGATGAAAATACCAAAACACAATAAAACGTTTGAAATGCAACATAGGAGTCAAAAGGAACCTACAAAAGTAAATATATTTGAGCAACTAGAAGGGAACTAAATGTTGATGAAGTGCTTACATTCTAATAGGAGAAGAAACCATGTGTCCTTTCAGAATCATGTCTTCAAGGGTAACAGGGAGATAAATAAGATACAGAAAGGGGATGGGCATGGTTTTGTTCTTTTGTGATGATCTTAAGAGAAGAAAGAGAGGAGCAAAAGAAAACACTAGGGAAAAAAGAGGATGGAAATTACTAATTTTTATAATTGGGGTACAAAACTAGAATATACAAAGAAGGGGTTGGGGGGGACATCATACGAACTCCACTCGTCTCTGAATTGGACAGAGGAAAGTTGAATACACACAGAGTATGGTGTGGAAACACAGTAAAGTCAATAGGAAAACAGGCAGGTAAAGGAAAAAGGGATAGAGTTGTTTAAGAGGTAGAATAGAATTGGGAAGTGAATAGTCACAAGCAAAACAAACTTCAGATTTGGAGAGTGGATTATAAAGTGTAATTTAAAGAAGAGAAAGAAGTATAATAACTAGTGACTGCAGTTTGGATTAGAGAAAAAAAGGAAAGACAGTACAGGAGAAGCAAATTGCATTTGTTATAGATCAACAGTGATGGTCATATTCCTTCTCTTCCACCACTTTTTCTTCTTTCTAAAGAGAAGCAGAGGACAAAGAGAAGTAAAAATGTAAGAGAACATAATGGAAGAAAATGCGTAACAGTCATAAGCCTGAACAATAATGAGATAAACTCACAAATAAAATGGAAAAAAGACAGCAGAATCAAATAAAGCAGAATATATAATGTTTCATATGAACTTATAAAAAAAGCAGGGGTAGCAATCATGATCTCAGACATGACAACAATTTAAAAATAGAAGAAATTAAAAGAGAAAAATAGGTCAAAAGAAACAAACAGGAAAATTACATGATGTTTGAAGGCACTGTAAACCATTAAATAAGATCAAGACTCAGTATATAGGTACTTAAGGGTGCAGTATCCAAATGCTTAAAGGAAGAGTTACTTACATTTCAGGGAGAAATAAGCAGTAAAAATATCATCAATAGAGATCTCAATGTAATCCTTTCAGACCCAGAAAATTTTAAGAAAAAGATAAAAGAAGTTAAGAATCTGAACAGAATTTAGCAAAAGTTAGATATGACAGCTCTTTAGTGAATAATGAAATAAAACAGCTTACATTTTTTTCAGCAGTGTATGTCACATTACAGAATTAACCATATGCTTTAGCTGTTCTTCAGTCAGTCAATCATATCCCACTCTTCATGATTCCGTGGATTGTAGCACACCATGCCCCTCTATCCTCCTCGGTCTCCTGAAGTCTATCCAAACTCATGTTCATTGCTTCCATGACACTCTCTATTCATCTCATCCTCTAACATCCCCTTCTCCTTTTTACCTTCAATCTTTCCCAAGATTAGGGTCTTTTCCAATAAATCTTGTCCTCTCGTTACATGGCCAAAGAAATTCAGCTTCACCTTCAGTGTTTGTCTTTCCAGTGGAAAGTCTGAATTAATTTCTTTAAGTACTGCCGATTTGATCTCCTTGCTGTACCAAGGGACTCTCAAAAGTCTCTTGCAGCACCACATTTCAAAAGGTTTGATTCTGTGGCACTCAGTTTTCCTTAAAGTCCAACTCTCATAACCACACATTACTATTGGAAAAAACATAGCTTTGACTGTATGGACCTTTGTCGGTAAGGTAATATCTCCATTCTTTAGTATATTGTCTAGATTTGCCACAGCTTTCCTCCCAAGGAGAAAATGTCTTTTAATTTGGTGGCTGCCGTCACCATCTGCAGTGATCTTTGAGCTCAAGAATATAAAATCTGAGAAAGCTTCCATTTTTTCTCCCTCTATTGGCCAGGAAGTGATGGGACCAATTGCCATGATCTTAGTATTTTTGATGCTAAGCTTTGAGCCAGCTTTTACACTCTCCTCACCCTCGTCAAGAGGCTTCTTAATTTTTCTTCCCTTTTTGCCTTCAGAGTGGTGTCATCTGCGTTTCTGACATTTTTGACATTTCTCCTGGCAACTTCAATTCTGGCTCCTGATTCATCCAACCCGGCATTTCGGATGATGTACTCTGCATATAAGTTAAATATCCTATAAATAATCATATCCTAAGGCATAAAAAATTCATGAACAAACTTAGAAAGGCAGAAATGTTAATTATATCATTTATTAAGTACAACACAATAAATTTTATAATCAATTAATGACTCTTGAAGAAAGGATTCAAATTTAAATGAAGACTAAATAATTTAGTCCAATATATTTCAAAGTATAATTTCATCAGAGAAAGTGACACCAATAAGACAACCCCATACCAAGATCTTTTACTATCAAAAGACATACTGTTTTCCAGAGCTGAGGCTCAGCAAGCAGGCTGTGCCCCGGACTTGGCATAACAACAACATTTTGCACTCACCTTCTGGATGCAACCAAATCCCAGAATTGTTTCACATCCGCACCAGAGGGTCCCCGAGCTCGGACAAACACCTGCAGTATCCATCGGTCATGAAGTCCTGCTATGAATCAAACTTGTCTCATTGCTGCTCTTAACCCTCCTTGCCATGGCTACACCTCACCGCCTGGTTCTTTGTCTAGCCACTACTACACGTATCAAGGCTTAGCCTCACTGCTGCGGGTCTGTTTGCTCAGACACCGGCATGTTTGTCTAGTTTCCCTCCTCCAAAAGAATAAAGAAGGCTTTTGCTTATTATAACCACTGTTAGCTCTTTGGTTTTATTTTATTTTATTTTATTCTTCAGAGTTTAACAGTTCTTATATAAGCTCTTTGGTATTTTCAGAATTAACAGTTGTTGTATAACTTCTGTGGCTCTTTGGTCATTTGTTTTCTGGGTTTGACAGTGGGCACGAAATTATGTATAATGACATATAATTATATGATATATGATAAAATGTAATATATAATTAGATATATCATAATATATTATGATGTTACATAATATAGCAATATATAATATAGTCATAGCAATGAGATGCACATGTAGTCAAGACAACTCTCAACTTGGAAACTGTGGGGCCTCAGTGTACTTTCTTTCCATAAAGTCCTCGAGCTCATTGAGGAGCTCTGCTCCACTTCTCAGCTAGACTACTCCTCACAGGGCACAGTTCACCTGTGCCCACTTCTCAGCACGGGCTGATCCACTTCTGGGTTGGGCTGGCTTTGGCTACTCTGATGATCCACTGCTGGCCTGGGTAGGTAGATCACTTGCCTACTAGGCCTACTACCTGACACAACACCAATGGTTCAAGTCTGGGCCAAGCAGATCACTCAAGCCAACGGACCGGCTCCCCTCCAGACATCACCACAAAATCGGACAGGTCACTTTGCCCCTGGAACACTGCCAGGCTGGAGTAGTCAGGCTGCTCTGAAATTGAGTCGGCTCTTCGGAAGACATGATGTCTCTGCCCCAAGGGTCAATCCACCGGACTCCTTCAGCTCACTAATGGATGAGCAACTGCACTCTTCACCACCTCCAACTTCTAGCCCTGCTGCATATTATTGCACATTTCCCACTGGAGTATTAAGGTCATCTTTCTAGCTGGACTGCTCTTGGGCTCTTTCCAAAAAGGAAGAGGCCCTTAGTCTAGGAATGGCAAAAGATTCTCTTCTCTACTCCTTCTTAGCTTCAGCTCTCAGGTTTGTCACCTCCTAGCAAGAGGTGAGAGAGGTATATCCTATCCTATTCAACAATTCTTCTTCATATACATACATACATACATACATACACACATACATAACATATATATGTACGTATGTATGTGTATGTGTGTATGTATATGTGTATGTATATGTTTATATGTCTATATACATATACGTGTGTGTATACACATACATGTACACACATGCACACATATATGCGCGTACATATACGATGCGTACATACATGTATGTGTGTATGTGCATGTGTGCATGTGTGTATGTAATATATAATAATATGTGTGTATATTTATATATGGGGATCTATACAAATATGGAGATGGGTAGACAGATAGAAAGATAGATAGATGGTACTCACTGAGGGGATAATTAGCAACTGGGAGGATTAGGAGAAGCCAGATTCTAAGGATTCCAAGAGGCAGAGGTAGTGAGGTTGTACCAGCTATGTAAAAGCACGGAAGCCAGGACAGAATATTCTGTATGACATATAGCAAGAAGACGGTCTTTGTGAGGACAGGTCCGTATTTTTTTTTAACTTCTTCTGATTCTCCCTAGCCTACTTATTGCTATTCAAACATTGGACATTTTATTTTTATCATGTATTGTATTATATTGACTGAGTCATCATCATCATTGCACTTCAACATAAATTTTCTAATCTCTCATGACCCCAAAGTTCCTGTTTTCCTTCCACAGAAACATAATATTCTCAATCTAAAACTGCTTCAGCATGTTAAACAGGTATCTTTGTAAAGCTACATTTATTTTGTACAATGAGTCATCTTTGTTTTGTGTCTGTTAAAACTGAGGTTGTTTTGTCTCGTTGCAGTCCTGAGAGTTATTTAAAGTCCCCCTAGAAGCACCTTGTTTGTCATTTTTGTGGAAGCTTAAAAATAAGAACAGATGGCATCCTGTACATCTGAGGCGTAAAAGGCCACGGCTGAGTAGGTTGAGGCGCCACAAGTCACCTATACTAAGCTTCCTTCTAGCCAGGTTCCCTGCCCACCCTTCTTACCACCCCCTTCCCCCAGGTTTCCAGCAATCCAAGGGAAATGACCACTCCAACATCCCATTTATAGTGATTTCCACTACTTGCACCGGCAGCCGAGCCAGGCCAAGGCAAAGTTCTGCAGCGAGGGAAGTTTGCCTTTGCTGCCCCCATCTCCCTTTTCAGCTCCTTGGTATTAGTTGTCCCTTACAGACATGATCTCACTCTTCTCGGCACATCCCTGAGAGGAGCCAAAACATGTGTGCAGGTATTATTATCGCTGTGGTGGAAGGCAGAGTGACAAAGCATGAAGAGGGCAAATGACTGAGGAGGCATCAAACCTGATGGCTTTTCCATAGGGTGAACCGCTAAAGGCATCAAAGTACTCCAACACCTACACTTTGGCTTCAGAAAATGTTCATACAAACACATACAACACACACACACATATTATATATGTATGTGTACATATACATGTATATAATGTGTGTATGGATACATATATACCTACATATATGTATATAAATATATATTTATTTACCTGATTTCATTAATATATTACCCATAACTAATTACACAGCATTTTAAACTGAAACATATTGTGGGCTACTAGGTCCCTTCCAGTTGTCAATTCTATGATCTCTTTATTGGTGCAATCAAGAAGCATAATTGACAGGAGAGAACTAAGCCTCTGCTGGGATAGAAATTTTCTCTTAGTCTCTGTCTCTTCTCTCTACATTTCTCTCCTCCTGTTTCCCCTCCCTCTCTCTCTATCTCTACCCCCTCTCCTCTCTGTCTCTGTCTCTATCTCCCTTGGTTTCTCTCCCGTGTCTCTCTCTCTCTCTCTCACACACACACACACACACACACACACACATACATTCTGTCTCTGTCTTTATCTCTGTGTCTTTCTCTGTCATTCTCTGTCTCTCTCTCTCCCACACACGCACACATATTCTCTGTCTCCGTCTTTGTCTCTGTCATTCTCTTTCTCTCTCTGTCTCTCTCACACACACACACATTCTCTATCTCTCTCTTTGTCTCTGTGTCTTTCTGTCAGTCTCTCTCTCTCACACACGCACACACACATTTTCTCTCTCCGCCTTTCTCTGTCATTCTCTCTCACACACGTACACACACACATTCTCTGTCTCTGTCTTTCTCTCACACACACACACATTCTGTCTCTGTTTCTCTGTCATTCTTTCTCTCTCACTCACACACACACACACACACACACACACACACACTCACTCACTCACTCACTCACTCTCTCCTTAACTGAAACAAAAGACTGGTTTGAAAACACACATGCTCATTTGAACTGTAGTTAAGTCTCGTCTGGCTGAAGTTCCAAAATAAGCTGTGTCTGAGTACTAAAATAGCATTGCCTCGACAACGGTAAAGAGGTTTCAGGCCTGTGCTGGATGTTTGTTTTCTTTTAAACTCTCCCTCTGGTGTTTATTCTGGTACTGTGTAGGTGCCACCATACAGGAAGGTGACCACTTGGAAAAAAAAAAAAAAACCCTTTGCATAGGTGGTATACATACAAGCCAAAAAGAACTGGATTTCCTTCAGTGGCTAGATATTTTAAGTTTGTGCCAGCAATTTAAAGAATCCACTGTAACTTCTTACCGGGTCCATATTTTAAAGTACCTCACTTTATACTTTGGGATGGATTTTTGATCCATAAATTGATTTTATAAGCTATCTCATATTTAATATCTAATAAGGAACTTTATTTAAAGAATCCCATGGACACTTTGTAAAAGGAATAATTAATATATTTTCTGAGAAAATCTGATTTTGGCCTCAACAAAGTTCACTTTTTTCAGTTTTGTATGAGTCAGATCTAGTGATTTCAGGTAATAAAGATGCGACATGTATTAAATTTCCTTCTGAATACTAGAGAAACACACTGAATTACTTCAAATAATGATTTGATCAAATAATAAACACAGCATATTATAACTGCCCTTGGACCACACCAGTATCTGCAGATTGGCACTACAGTGATCCCACTGAATCTGAACAAGTCATCATCCTAATTCCCAGGGATCTACTTTAGGAATAGTTTATTATCTAAATCATGAGTGATTAAAGAAATGCAAATTAAAACAACTCTGAGGTTCTACCTCACACCAATCAAATTGGCTAACGTGACAGAAAAGGGAAATGACAAATGATGGAGGCGATGTGGAAAAATAGGTATACTAATAGGTAGAGTTGTGAATTGGTCCAACCTTTCTGGAGAACAATTTGGAACTATGCCAGAAGGGTTATAGAGCTGTGCCTAGCCTTTGACTCAGTTGTATTCCAAAGAGATCAAAGGAAAAGGAAAAGGACTTATATGTACAAAAGTATTTAAAGCAGTTCTTTTTGTGGTGATAAAGAATGGGAAGTTGAGAGGCTGCCCATCAGTGGGGGAATGGCAGAACAAGTTGTGCTATATGATTACAATGGAATACTGTTATATTATAAACAATGGAGGCGATCATTTGAGAAAAATCTGGGAAGACGTATAAACTGCAGCAAAATAAAGTGAGCAGAACCAGGAGACCCTTGGAGACAGTAACAGCAATATCATAAAAATGTGTTGTTGCTGTTCAGTTGTTCAGTCCTGTCCAACTCTTCATGACCCAATGAACCATAGCAATCCATGCCCTCCTACACTATCTCTAAAAGTCTATCCAAGGTCATATTCATTGTTTCCGTGACACCATCTATCCATCTCATCCTCTGCCATCCCCTTTGCCTTTTGCCTTCAATCATTCCCAACATCAGGGTATTTTCTAAGTCCTGTCTTCTCATTATGTGACCAAAGAATTTCAGCTTC